GGCGGTCGAGAGTTATCTAGATTGATGAGTAAAATTAATTAAAACAGCGTGTTGATTGAAATACGCATGAAGTAAGCACGGTCGTGTGGAAATCAGATGAAGGATGAGCCCCACAGCTCCATCATCTACCATCAAATTTTTGCAGGCCGCAGAAATTTGATGCATGGTAGATGGTGCGCACCAGTCACCATTTGATCGGAAATTGATGGGGATTTGAGCGTGTAACCAGCACAAAATATGACAAAATAACTAAATCTCCTAATATACATGTGCTCAAATGGAGAATGGCCGCCAGATGACGTCATGAGGCGGCACATTTTCTCTTTTTTAAATCTATTTTCCTCCAATTTCCCAAACCAGAAAAAAATTTTAAAAAATACTGCGAACTCAGCTCATTAAGCACTCTCAGATGAAGCAATACAATTTTTGTGCGCAAATTCTCCATCGGAGAGGTCGGACAGGAAATTTTTGAATAAAACTGCAAATTTTGATGTTTATTTCGAAACATTTTAAATGTTAAGGGGTACCTCTAGAGGAAAATTCCACGAAGCAATCAACGGAACCACTTTTAGAACCTTAAAGCTTTGTATAAACAGAGTCACGAGCGTTTAAAGTTTCCAAATTTTGTCCGAACCACCTATTGACTCGGTCCACTGTGCGTCGTCAGGTCTGCCATGATAGCGAAGAGAGCCGTAAGTGCAAAAATGAAGTTTTGAGAAAATATGCTCGGAAGCTTCTGAGCGGAAAATTTTATCGCAAGAATTCTCCTTTCGTTGTTTAATAGATCGTATACGATACATCAAACGGGTGAAATTGTATCGATATCAATTGGTTCAAAACAAACATAGCCTCAAAAGTAAAATCAGAAATCTGAGGGAACGGGTCTTTTGTAACAGTTGTTTTATTATTTTGAGTACCAAATGCCAATGTAATGTGAAATTGTTCGGAATTTTCTCATTTTCAGCTTTTCCAACGTAAATCCTCTGGTAAATCCTTTTAGTTTGGTTTGAGGTTATGTTCTATTGTTTTGAACCAAACGATACATCGAACCGTTATCGAATACGGTCTATTTCCACCAATAATCCAAAAGACTCTTGGAAATTGTGTTGATGATTAATAATCGACCGATTTTTTTTTCAATGTGTCAGGTGCGCTGGTCACAGAATCGTGTTTTGATGCTTGATTCTTTTAGGTTAGCTGAAAATAATAAGATCTGTCCGGACAGCAAGTGCCTACGTTCAATTTTAACCGAGATCTAGCTTTTGGACTTCCTTTAAGTAAGAGACACTATCGGACAATCTTGGCAACACCTAATACTACTTACCAAGTTATGAGTTTCCGCTCTTTGAGTGATGTATCCACAATAGACCTCTGGACAGGGTATGAATTAAAGCATAGTATGTTACATGTATTCTCTTCAAAACACGAGAAAAACAAATCATACAAAGGAAAATCTGGAAAACAACTCCAGAACAAGATATTGGTGTTTACAATTAACGTTGGTTCAATGGAAAAAATACATATGACGTCGTTTGTGTAGTCAAACTTCCATTTGGTCCGTACATAAAATATTTTTCAATATCTCGTGCAGGACATGATATTCGAACTTTCAAAGTTGCGTGAATAATCTACGTGAAACATTCGAAGAGGAAACTTGTGAATTTCTCATGTAGTTTAGACCTTGCCTAGCGCTCCATTCTTCTCAGGGGCCGTTCTGAAAATATGTAACCCTGAAAATTGAATCTATACACTCCCCATTCGTTTCCATAATGAGCCCTTGACAAAGAAGTTCTAACTCCCTACCAAAAAAAATAAAAAAAAAAATAAAAAAAAAAATAAAAAAAAAAAAATAAAAAAAAATCGCAAAGCCGAAAATGAAAATAGGCATACATATAAATTGAAGAAGCTTTGTTAAAAAGAACGGTTTCTCTCTGGAAACGAGCATCTCTGGAGAATGACTCAGTGTCAAAGTAGGTTAAATTGATATCATTGTGTTTTTGTGAAAACTTGCTTATATCTATAAAAAGCTCTCATGTACCGATTTAGCTTGTATCTGTTTATCAAGAAAAGCACACAAGGATACTTTTGATCGAGAGTAGGCGCCAGTGGCGAAGTGTAAATGATCGATTATTATCGATATCTCCCCATTTAAAGTAACAGTAAAGAATCGATTATTCAGGTGTTAGTTGCGCACACCCTGTTGATCGATACTTTGCCATCGGTTTAAAGGACAGATCTATCGATGTATCGCAAAGCACGCGCTCGCCACTGGTAGTCACCATTCATAATTTATTTCTCAGTAGTGTTCGCGTTTTCTTGAAACTGCATCTATTCCAATTAAGCTTTACTGCTCTTCCGGAGCTCTACGATATTCTCTTGAGAAGTTGTAAGTAATCCTTCGAAGTTTATATTAAATTGTACCTGAGAAGTGGCAATATTGTTCGAGCTCTTGACCTAAAGAAATGTTTTTCTCTTAATGTTTCTAAGGTTCAAGTGCAGAAATTCTCCTTCATCCTCTCAAATGGTTTAAGTTTTCGAATGTTAAGTCGTCTCTCATCAGATTATATTCGTAAAATTATTTTTTTGTTGGTTATGATGGAGTTTTTCATTGGTTCATGTCAAAGGATCCTCTCCTCTGAGAAAAGCTTGTAAAAATCTAATGAAAAGCAACTTTATAACAAGGTGAAAGACGACCGCTGAAAGTTTTCTCCGTAGGTTATGAGTGCCCACTTGAGGTGAAAAAATCACTCATAACAAGGCACTTTACTATTTCTGCTGATGTCGAATTTCGAATAATTTTCACCCGGTCAAAACCCTGGTGGAAAAATATAGATATGATGGGAAAATTGGCACAATTTAGATTAGTAATTATTCCTTTTTCCGATTAGCCGGCTGCTGCGGGCGGAAAAAGTTTGCTCATTTCTGCACCTCTTATCGGACAAAAAAGTCACGTTTTTGCGCTTTGCGTTTTTCAATTCATTTTTTACGGGTTTGTTGTTTCCTACTTTGTACGTATTTATATTATGCGTTAACGTGTTTTCCACCCGAGCGCGGGGGAGGGGAGGGAACGCTCTGATGTGGCTTCCGATTATCCAGTAATTTTTCATCCGGAAAGGTACTGTCACATGTTGTCAAATCGTAGGGTTTTACTTTCAATATGCGGAATATCGTCGGAAAAATGGGAAATAATACGGCTCTCGGCGTAAGACTTTTTCGTCAGAATGCGCGATCAACCAATTCAAAAGGTACACATTTAAGATATCTTCACTCTGATCGCCCTGGTAAAAATCGGCGATAAGAGCTGCATTTCAAAATACCAGAGGAATTCTTATAGCCGGCTAAAGGAGGCTACGGAAAATCATATAGCTGGCTGTAGAATGCGGAGAAAATCATACGGCCGGGCTATACGAAGCGATAAAAAATTATGCAGCCGGGCTATTGCCGGGCTTTACACTTTATCGCCTGGCTGTTGCTTTTTCGCCATCGATTTTAAAAGGCTATAAGAAATTGTGTAGAAATGTGTGTGCTTTGGAAATCGTTAAGTCTGATACGGAACCAACTTCATATTTACAAAACACACATTATATTTTCCTTTAATACATATTTTTTTTCATCAATTAAAATGAGAATAATCCATACAGGATGTGCAAAAATTTCAAAATCATGAGTTGAATAACGCTGACTCCGCCAGATTAAATATTAGAGCCTAACACAAAGCGGAGCGGCGACGCACTGTCGCCTACAAACCTATCAGGGACACTTCACGCATTGCGCAACGCGTGAAGTATCCCTGTTAGGTTTGTAGGCGCCAATGCGTGTTTCGCGCTGGCTGCCCGCCTGCCACGGCGCTTGAAGCAACTATTTTACACCAGATGTATTGCACAGTATCATACGAAACTGAAGGCGCTCTAATATATTAGTAATGTCAAGCATCCATCAAAAGTACGGAGCTTTCCTCGCAAAATAAATCCAGATACTACGGCCCAAAAAGAGAGCAGTATTCCGAAAACTCACTGAGTCCTAGCATCCGTAATTAGTCACGTTCAGCATACACTTTATCGCCTGGCTGTTGCTTAATCGCCATCGCCGATGAAAGGCTATAAGAAATTGTGTAGCCGGCTATAGAAGCTATTGGAAATCTTAGAGCCGGCTGTAGGTCTATGGTATTTTGGAACACAGATTCTACTGCCAATTTTTACCAGGGTCTTGTTTTGGGAGTAAATAATAATAGAAGAGGACATTATTTAAGAGAACATCAAAAGTGTATACCTGGTGCGCTTTTCTTACACAGAATATAATTTGCAATAAGTTTGCAACTTTTTTAAGGATTTTAGAGGTGGACAAAAATACGCTAGAACTATGTTACGTGGTAATTACTATTTTGACAAAATATTTCAACCCGTCTCGCTATGTAAGTTTCATTATCATTCGAGCCCTAATTTCATGAATGAAATGAAACCTATTAAAAAATATAGTAAAAAGAAACATATCAATTGTGAACCTGCAGAGATGCATATCTTGGTTTGCGGCGTTGCAGACTTCCTGTCGTACTTTATTTCTACATGGAAAACTGCTGAACGTCATTTTTTACTTTCTCGCTCCCCTAGGGTAGAGAGGAAGTATTGTTTAAAATTTCAGTGATTTTTCTTCTCTTTATAAGGAATATTTTGTTAACACTTCAAGGCAGGGGAAGGAGGCTCCATGAGACATAAGACAGAATAATTAAAGCTGTCACTTGCACCACCGAAAGACGCAAAATTAGGAATTAGAATATTTTTACTCTCTGTGAATCCGAGATTTTGCCACCTTTTCTTTTTTGTAATTTTTTCCGTACCAATTTTTAAAAAATCGCAATATTTGCCGTCATTTGTCGCGACCCGTGTTTCTCCCCCTTTCACTTGAATTCGACCCTGCATGTAGGTAGCAATCCATGTTTTTACATGATCCACATTTTCCCAAACGATGAAGTTTGCTCATTAAGTCATTATTTCTGCTTGCAGTGATAAAGAACTGAGTCACGGTGCCATCGTCTACGCTGGAGGTCAGAATCTGACGTTATTAGCAAGATACTGCAAGGACAGTATCCCCCGATCTTGCGACCATTCAATCCTACGAAATCACTCGAGGCCTTGTTCACGGGCGGAAAGCTTCTTGTCGTCCGCTGACACCCTTACGCTTGACTTCAAAGTCGCTGAATCTACATCACTCAGGTATTTCTTCATTTTTTCCCCGCTCATTTAACCTAGCGCATGGAGAAAAACTCCAGTGGCGTGGCGTGAATTGCGATATATCGATTGTTGTGCCATTTAAACCTATGTTACAGAATCGATTATTAAGGTGTCCGCTGCGAACACCCTGTTTATCGATCCCCTCTATAGGTTTAAATGGCCGATCAGTCGATATATCGCAAAGCACGCCACGCCACTGGAAAACTCATCTTGGTTTTAACATGAATTTTGCTTGTAAGTTGCACCAAGTTCTGCTTGTGTCAAAATGTGTTCTTTAATTGCACCGAGGCCAGAATAAAATTGAAGGGTTAGGTGCAAAAAAGGCCCGAGTAGCAAAATCACGGTTCCACAAAGCAGGGATTGGATATTTCATTATGGTACCAGTTTGTTACATTATCAGGTATAACATTGGTTGAGGTCAAAAAAAGTTAGTCACATCGTCAAGTTAAAGTTAGCATGATTAATATACAGAAATATGTTGTTGGAAATGAGAAAGAACAGTAAAAGAAAAGGTACACTTTGGCCATTTTTGAATTAAAGGACTAATTTGAGAAATACACTTGTGTTTAAATGCCTGATACTTGGGCCGTTTTTACATAGAATCACTTTTACTTGGGATTAAACTACGTGAGATGCAAATACGGGGATCTAAAAAAAAAAAGAAAACAAAACATTGAAAGAAAAAGTTGATTTTTTTTAAAAACGGTGCATAAAAATTGAAAATTTGTCCACATAATAATGACAATAATGCTCGGGTCATTTTTGCACCTGTTTCATCAATTATGTGAATAAGGCAAGTAAGGTATACGAACTACATTTTGCAATAAGACAATACTATTTCTGGATCATAACCAAAGTACCTCTCTGTGTAGGGATACCGATAGCACATAAGTCGTTTTCAACATAAGCCAGTATTTTTTTGATTTTTTAAAAAATAAAAAATACCGAGCCTTTCGCGAGAGAGAAAATGAATGAAAATCGTAAACGTGTATAAACCGAGAGCACATAAGTCGTTTTCAAAATAAGCCAGTATTTTCATTATTTTTTAAAAAAATAAAAAAATACTGAGCCTTTCGCGAGAGAGAAAATGAATAAAAATCGTAAATTTTTATAAATCGAATTAATCCTGCTTCGAGAACGAACAACGTGCAGCGCTAAATGTGGCACAAACGCTTGGTTTCCGACAAACTTTTGCTCGAAAACGACAAATAACCGAACCGTTTAGTCTCCTGCTGTACACAACTCCAGCCAAGGGATTCCCATGGCAACTAAACGGTCCAATTGTTAAAAGCTGAGCTTTCGCTTTGGTGAAAAACTTTCTAATGAAGAGGAGACGTTGATGCAGTTGATGCAGCTTTTCGCAGCGGCGGAAAATCGAGGCTCAACTCTTACGTCAATGGTAACGAGTTTATGTTTTTGTTTAGTCGTCCCGGATTTGTTCTTCGTTGGAATTACCGTTCGCTCAGCGTAAACAGTTCAAGCTTGATTGGAGCAGTAAGTTTTGTGCCCGCTTAATAGAACAAAAACCGGATAACTGCTTCCTGTATATCTGAGGTGGAAAAGTTAAACCGCGGTAAAGCTTTATATGGTATGAGCTTCTCCGAAATAATTACTGTGGACAGCACTGAAAACACCAATCATTCTTCTTCTCTTTTTTCAAAAAATCCAATACGCCCTTCTGCGGTAAATGGATCGAATCAGGCATTATTGGCGGGACTTTAATGAACTGGTTGATTCTTTTATTTTTAGTAATTTTTTATTTAAATAAAATCTGGTTTACACGGAAATAAATACGTAATTGTTAAACACCTGGCTAATTTAATTCAAACCCTCCTTAATCGTATCGTGAAAGATTCGGCGGATTTAGTTAGGGCTTCTCCGGCTCGTGAACATATTTACGCCGTAAGCAGGTATCAATGGAGAATTTGCATACAAATTTTTTATTGCTTTATCTGAAAGTGCTTAAAAAGCTGATTTCACGGTATTTTTCATAATTTTTTTCTGATATGGGAAATAGTATAAAAATAGTTTTAAAAGTGAGAAAATGCACCGCCTAGTGAAGTCGTCTGGCGACATTTCCCATTTAAACACATGTATTTTGGCAGATTAGATAATTTTGTCATATCTTCTCCGATAATTGTTCGATTCACGAACCAAGGGTATCCTCGTGTTCAGTTCACTCAGTAGTTTCCACTTATACACGAAATTCATCAAATTCCAGACTCCTGCAAATTCTCTATTGACGTGAATGATTCAATGATACAGCATAAAACACTCTGACTGCTAACAATATTTTTTGGGCAATCTAAAGGAAATGACACAATTCCAATTGAAGTAACAAAGAATTCTTCAATAAAAATTTAAAGGACAGAGGTTAACTCATGCAGAGCCTTAGGTAATATGCGTCCCGTTCTAACTTGCAAAATCCATTACAAAGTGTAACTCCCAATCATCAACATATCAGAAGAAACTATTTTCCGGATATTTATTGGGCTCTAGGATGCTCCGAATTTTCCCTTTGATGGGACCCGCAGCGAAAAACTTGCAACGTCGTAACTTGAGGTATGAATGTTTCTTACCTCACCGTAAGTGATGAGGAGATGTGTAACTGCACACGCGCCAGGCTGTGCATTCAGCGGCAATCGTGATCCTCTGTCATCAAGTCGAGGCAGTACCCTCGAAGGCGCTCCAAGCAACTATTCCACCTTACATGTATTGCACAGTATCAGACGAAAATGCAGGCGCGCTAGCGTATGTAAATTGGTTGGTATCGTTCACTGAACATATTTTTAAAGGGATATTAGTGTCGATTTCGTATTGTTCTCAAACAATTTAAACAGTTAGAGAATACACTAAGTCGTAGCAATAGATTCAGCAGTTTTTTTACACCATAAGTTTAATTTTAGCCATTAAATTGATCACTATGATTAGACCATTATAAGCATAACCTTCCACTTTTTCCATAACCATGGGTTTTTCTTTGCCACAGGCCTGTCTCGTTCAGAGCTTTGTACGAGTTCGTGGATTTGCACCAAGATGGTGATCCCTGGGGTTCAGGACCCTGCTCGCGGCGGTTTCAGAGTAAGACCCAACAGTTACAACCACAGCAGCCACACAAGTTTCGCTCGCCACGAAATGTCTTCCTTTTCGGGAGAGGAGGCGCTACAAATCTCAGGTTTGTCCGACTAAAATTTCACCGACTATTTTTGTCCGTCTTCTAGAGCGCAAGGGTTGGATGAAACGACTCCTCTTATGAAATGCTCAGCTGTGCCAAAGTATCGTTTTGGGAGCGGTAAGCTTTAAAAAACGCATATTTCTTACGCAGATTGTGAAGTTAGGAGTGTTTCTCAAACTTTTCCAATGCGCTCTTCGTGATTTGTGAGCCATTTACTACAAGGAGCAACTCTTCCTTTTGCTCTAACTGAAGTTTGCAACAGGCCCATTCTTGCAATTGCTTCTGCTCTCACTCCTTCTTTTCGCCCCAACCCAAAGTAGCAGTGATCGTGATAAATAGCGATTTTACCGGTTAGTTATCGCAAATATATCGGTGGCAATTTATCGCGATATAATCGAATCAAAAATTGTGAAATATAAGGCGATTAAATCTCTATATATCGCAATTTTTGATTCGATAAAATTGCGATCGATTTTTGTCGGTAAAATCGAGATTAAGTCGCCATTTACTGCGATTTTTATTTCGATAATATCGTGATTTTCCGAGCAATAAAATCGAGGATACTAGCTCAGATGTTAATGATCCTAGCAATTTATCGTTGTTAAAATTGCAACAAATTTATCGATTTTCCGGTGAAAAATGTCACTTCGGACTCAGCACCTGCAGCCTGATTGTTAAAAATGTCGGCATGACAGGACTCGAAGATCGACATATTACATGGTGCAGATATGTCTTAACTTGCTGGCATAGCCAGTTAAAGTTTCAACAATGGAGATGTTACATGTGTAAGGAATTTCCGAATAGACTGCTGATTCTGATGTAAAAGTTCGCGAGAAACACGATGGTGCCAATAGTTTTCTCTGAAATCAACTCCCAAAAGCTCTCAAGTTGAGGCCAAAATGGAGAGGATATCCCACGCTATCCTGAGAGTCCACCTCTACATCAAGACAAACTCTCCATGCAAATATAGGGAGCAAATACATTAGCAGTGATGCTGTGTCTTCAGTTGTGGATTCCTCAAATAAAGTGGCAGCCCTGTCAATGTATTTGCTCCCTATACCCTTTGCATGAAGAGTTTGCCTTGATGTAGAGGTGGACTCTTAGGGAAGGGTGGGATATCCTCTCCATTTTGGCCTCAACTTGAGAGCTTTTTCTGAGCTTGGGAGATAATTTCCGAGAAAACCATTGGCACCATCGTGTTTCTCGCGAACTTTTACGTAAGAATCAACAGTCAAATCGCAAATTCCTAACACATGCAACATCTCCATTGAGGGGCTTGGAGGACAAGGCGCATACGTGCAGTTTTTGCTATTTTGAGAAACTCGTGTTTAAAGTTTCGAAATTACATGGATCCCTATGACGGAAAGAACGTTTAAACTGATGTGTTGATACTTTTAAGCAAATGAGCAAATTTGAAATAAGGATATGTGTGCAGGAATATCGCATTTACCTTGAAGATCCGTCATTCCATCAATCTGGTGCATCGAAGTAGATGCGGCACAAGAGTTCCGATATCTAAACTTGGCAGATTTGAAAACGCCTTCAATTGTGACGTGATACCGCCCGCATTCCGGAGAGTACGAATAGTTGTATCATTGCGCCTTACGAACACGACGGAAGATGAACATTGAGGAAGCCTCCCCAATGGCCTTGTCGGTATTTCTCTGTCATTTTTGCATTTTTGCAACAGTCCAATCGCAAATTCCTCACACATGCAACATCTCCATTAGGCTGTTGTCCTGATCTCAGCTACTTCTACCCTTTCTACTTCTCCTCCCTCTACTTCCCTGTCTCTCCTCATTGCCGGGTCCAGCAAATTGGCAACATTGCCATTCCTCCATTTAAATCCGTGGAAATGTATCGATACTTGGGAGGGGCTAGGTGCTCCGACAAGAATCGATTATTTAGCATAGGCTTAAATGGAGGAAATCCGGTGTTGCCAAATTTCCGCCTCCACCTCTCCTGATGCTACTGCTCCTCCTAATTCTTCCAATGCACCTCTTTGACCACGACTAACTCTAGGTGTTGGATTGTTGCAGCTGCGTGTTCCGCTTCGAGGGCCAGAAGGGCGAGAAGGTGCGGATCACTCTGCTGCAAGTGGCGACGGGGAACCGGTCGGACTGCGCGACGCGGCTGAACCCGGACAGCGGGCACCTGCAGTGCATCGGCGGGGCGTCGGCGACGGTGCGGCTCTCGGAGCACCCGTTCGCGCACTCGCCGCCCCTCCCGCGGGACTGCCTCTGCTCCGGCGCCGACGCCCACCTCCCGCTCGTCTTCGAGAGCAGCAGCCACGTCGTCCACGTTGAGCTCCGCGCCGACCGCATGTCCGCCGGCGACGACTACCGCGGCATCCACTTCGAGGGCACCTACGAGTTCCTCCGCCCGCCCGTCTGCACCCGCCCGCACAGGTTCCTCGGCTCCAGCGGACAGATCCACTTCCAGGCACCTCATCGCACCCCCGAAGAGGTAAGAACCCTCGTCACCCAAGTAGCAGTGATCATGATGTCGGCTTCCTATGGTGTAGTGGTTGTAGCGCTTGCTCTATGATCGGAAGGTCCCGGGTTCGATTCCCGGCCAGGCGACCCGAGTTTGATGGTCTCAAACAATGGTTGCCTGGGACTGGTTCAGTAGGGACGGAGGGGGGATGGGACTTAAATGGGATTAGCCCTTGAGGGCTATTTGAAGTAGTAAAAAAAAAAAAAAAAAAAAAAAAAAAAAAAAAAAAATTATCAATAGCGATTTTATCGGTTGGTTATCGCGATGATATCGGTGGCAATATATCGAGATATTATCGTATTAAAAATTGCGATACATGGCAATTAAATCGCTACACATCGCAATTTTTGGTTTGATAGAATCGTGATCGATTTTCGTCGATGAAATCGAGATTAAATCGCCGTTTATCGCGATAAATTGTTGGGCAATGCAAGTGCGAAAAATTGCAATTTATAGCGATTTTTCCGTTGAGAAATCCTACTCGGGCAATCTAACGTTGAGAATCTGATTCCTTGTAAAAATTGGCGATAGGAGCTGCGTTTGAATTTACTCGTACCATGGGAATTCTTATAGCCGGCTAAAGAAGGCAATAGAAAATCATATAGCTGGCTGTAGAAAGCGGAGCAAATCATATGGCCGGGCTATACGAAGGGATAAAAAAATATACAGTCGGGCTATGGTTATTATCGCTGAGGTGTACAGTTTATCGTCTGGCTGTTGCTTTTTCGCCATCGGCTATGAAAGGCTATAAGAAATTGTGTAGAAATTCGTATGTTTTGGAAATCATTAAGTTCGATACGGAATCACCTTAACATTTACAAAACAAATATTATATTTTCCTTTAATACATATTTTTTTTTCATCAATTAAAATGAGAATAATCCATACAGAGCGTGCAAACATTTCAATATCATGAGTTGGAAAACGCTGACTCCGCGAGATCAAATATTAGAGCCTAACACAAAACGGAGCGGCGCGGCGGCGCACTGGCGCCTACAAACCTAACAGGATACTTCACGCATTGCGCAATGCGTGAAGTATCCTGTTAGGTTTGTAGGCGCCAATGCGCGTCGTGATCTAACCGGTCGCCCGTCGCTCTGCAGCGTGCCACGGCACATCAAGCAACTATTTCACAACAGAGGTGTTGCACAGTATCATACGAGATTGAAAGCACTCCAACATATTAGGAATAATGACAGGCATCCTTCAAAATTACGGAGTTTTCCTCGCAAAATAAATCAAGATACTATGGCCCAAAAAGAGAGCGTTAGTCCAAAAACTCACTGAGTCCGATAGCATCCGTAATTAGTAACGTTTAGCATACACTTCATCGCCATCGGCTATAAAAGGCGATAAGAAATTGTGTAGCCGGCTATAGAAGCTATTGGAAATCTTATAGCCGGCTGTAGGTCTATGATATTTTGGCACACAGATTCTACTGCCAATTTTTACCAGGGATATTATAGTTTGGCGGTGAGCGGATTATTGGCATCGACGGACAAGGCAATAGACAAAGAGAACGGAAAGAAAATAGAGCAACCCTATAGACTGATTTAGTAACTGTGTCATTTGATATAATATCGAAATCTTAGCTCAAACCAGAACAAACTAACATAACCTCATTTGCGAATTCTCCATGAATTAATTCTGTTAATTTATGACATTTTAGTCATAGACCGGTATTAAATCAATTAAGGACTCATTAAGCACGAGGAATTTTGATTGTATGAAACAATAGGGCAAATTTTACCACCATCAAGCAAAGGGCGCGACTCAGGAAGAAGGTTATGAGCTTTTCACTTTTAAACCATGTCGTAGCCGCTAAATTAGTCTATTGGTGAAAGCAGGTGGTTGCAGTGGACAAATCGGGTAAGTAATAGACTGACCAACGGCCAACGATGAGAGACCCTATAGTTGGTCCATCATTTCACCTTTTAAACACAATCACCCGTTTCAGCCGACAGGATCGTTTTATTTTCCACTTTTCCTCTTCGTATATGGTTTTCTGTATAAATTTCAATAATTAGCCCACAATGTCTGACTTCACTTGGTTTTTTCTTCCATTCGAATTCGTATTCAAAATAGAGTTTTTCACCGCGTTTAAGTTGCCCTTTGAACCGTTTGGATTGATGATTTTACAGCTATTGTGCATACCAATCATTTATTTCCTATGACAGCTGACTTAGTTTAAAATAGAGGCTTGTAAGGTAAACTTGAAGCAGTTAGCGTCTTGACGTAACTTTTTACTCCCGGGCAATACTTAATAAAAAAAAAAAAAAAAAAAAAAAAAAAAAAAAAAAAAAAAAATCTTTCAATTATTTTACCGTCATTTGGACTGCGTTTAGCAGAAAAGAACCAAACCACATCCGCTATTGCCAAATTTAATCGGGCAGATTAGTTTTTTTACATAAAAACGACTGTGTGGATTTTTGTGCGAATTTCAGTGAATTTTCTGCAAAAAGCGAGGGAAATTCCTTAAAATTCTCAGGAAAATCTGCAAAAACGCTCTCTTGTATTAAATCAAATTACCAGGTTAAGTTTGGCAATACCTAATGTGGCTTGATTCACTGAAAAAAAATCTCGGTGTATTTACTAAGAAAAGGGTAAAATTACCAAGAACTCAGGGTTCTATTTGATCTCAGTTTTTTCTTGGTAAAATCACAATCTATGGAATTGGTAATTTTACCGACAAATGTCGGTAGAATTATTGAACTTTCTCGGTAATTTTACTGGACCTTGGTAAAAACGACAATATTTTTTATCGACTGTGGTAGAATTACCGAGATAAAATGGCAAAGTTACCGGGAATCGATTACCAATAAAAGTGATATTCTTACCTGAAAAAACAGTAAACATACCGGTTTTTAGGTAAGCTTATCAGTCTGTCTTGGTAAAATTACCAATAATTGGTAAAAAAAAAAGTGAAATGGTGAGGGTACCAACGGACCTTGGTAAAAACGCCGAGAATTTTTGGCGCGTATACGTAGTATACCGCCTTTGCGATCGTTTCGACCCCCCCCCCCGAAAAAGTACGAAAATACCCCCTCGTTCAAATAAACCTTCGCATTTCGGAGACTCTGCCTCCGAATGCGATCCGAGTCTCGAGAACCGGATCTGAATATTGCTTTCGCCCCAGATCATTTGGCTCCCGTGTGCCAGGCGCCGGTGCGTTGGGCTCCCGGGTGCCGTTCGTTTACCCGCGGAGGTTTTTTCCGGTCTCACATGGGCGAGCATGAAAATAACTTATGTCGGTGCGCGAGCCCGGCTAACGAGTGGGCGAGAAGGATACTCCGCTGAGATTTCCATGGCTGAGCCGCCGGGAAACGCGATGATCCTGCCACGGCCATCCCGGGAGTTTTCTAAAGGGTGAGCCGGGGGAATAAATTCTAACTTGAGGAGCGAGGATGAGTTTCCCGGCCCGTTTTCCTCCTTGAACAGGACCTCCGGTGTTGCCAACTTGGATTGTAAACGCACATGCATGGATTCTTAGGTGTGACCTATACTGCCGTACTACACTGAAAAAAAATTCTCGGCGTTTTTACCAAGGTCCGTTGGTACCTTTACCATCTCATTTTTTTTTACAAATCATTGGTAATTTTACCAAGACAGACTGGTAAGCTTACCTAAAAACCGGTATTTTTACTGTTTTTCGCAGGTAAGAATACCACTTTAATTGGTAATCAATTCCCGATAACTTTGCCATTTTATCTCGGTAATTCTACCACAGTCGATAAAAAATATTGGCGTTTTTACCAAGGTCCAGTAAAATTACCGAGAAAGACAATAATTTTACCGAGATTTCTCGGTAAAATTACCAATTCCATAGATGGTGATTTTACCAAGAAAAAACTGGGATCAAATAGAACCCTGAATTCTTGGTAATTTTACCCTTTTCTTAGTAAATACACCGAGATTTTTTTTCAGTGTAGGTGTGACCTATACTGTCGCACTAAGCAAGAACGCCTACTGGCGTGATCATATTCTTTCCAATAAAAACTGAATAGACCGAGGAAGTCATGAATATTTTTCTTGAAAAATTTCAGACAATTCAGTTCGCAGTTTAATTTCTAAAAATTTCAAGTTAAAATGGTCCGCGTCAAACAGAAAGGAACCAAGCCACATTAGCTATTGCCAAATTTAACCGGGCAGTTTATTTATTTTACACGAAAACGGTTGTGCGGATTTTGTGCCAATTTCAGTGAACTTCCTCCATTGAACGAAACAAAATCCTCAAAATTTTCGAAGGAATCCGTACAAAAGTTCTCTCATAAAAAATTAAATTGCATAATAAAATTTGGCAATAGCTGATGGGCCTTGATTCCTTTCTGTTATACGTGGTCCAAATATGCGTGACTTTCCTCTAAAATACTTGTTTTACCGTGGAAAATTTGGCAACTCTCGTATATTCATGTGACGTTCTTGCTTAGCACGGCAGTATCATTGGGCCACTTTTAGCAGAAAAGAATCGAGTCACATCAACTATTGCCAAAGATAATTGGGGAGTTTAATTTTTTACAAGAGAACTTTTGTACGAATTTCTTTGCACATTTTGAAGATTTTGTCTCGCACAATGAAAAAAATTCACAGAAATTTGCACAAACATCCGCACAACCATTTGCATGTAAAAAATCAAATTGCCGGATTAAATTCGGCAATAGCTGATGTGGCTTGGTTCCTTTCTGCTTAACGCGGTCAATTAAGTTCCAATTATTTAAATTAATAATTAGTAATCAAACCAAATTTCATAAAAAATACCACATAGTATACCTCGAAATTATATCCTTTTTAAATCAAAGGGAGCTCCTATTTGAACCAAACTGAAATTACAGTAGAATCTCGATCATCCAACACTCGATTATCCGACAAGATTTTCTTGTCGCTGAAACGTGGCATGTCCGGACATGCTTCGATGAGAGCTGGGTTTTTAGGCAAAAATTGAGTATATGAGTGGTATTTTGTATTGTTTCTCA